CTTGTTAACTTTTTTTCAGGGCTTCCAAAAAATTTCCCTGTCCGGGAAACCCTCAATCGTTTCTGAAACGGATGATCTTCCTACTTTTTATGTTTTTGGTCATGTCTACCCCAAAAACTTCTGTCTCTTTGTAATCTCAATCGATTCTGACAAAAATTATCTTCTAAGCGTTTGGCTTTGGTAGCCCTTTTTAATTAAACAACTTTCTTTCAGTCCTTCTAAACACAAGTACCCTTCTATATCGAAAGGTTTTCCGCCCCTTTTCTATCCTGATTTTTTTTTGCCTCTTTCCCCCTCAAACTTTGCCCCCGGGCCACGATGTACCCCATTTGTTCTTTTACCATTTTAAACCTTCCATATTGTTCTCAGGGGAACATTTTAGGCTCTTAATTTTAGGGCCCAATCGATTTTTAGGTCCCCCTCGAGGGCAATGCTCACATACCCCCCCCAAAACACTAGAGATCCCCAAAAATCTCGGTGACTATTTCTCCCTTTGGGTTTCCCGGTAGACACTTCGTCCATGGGTGACAGAATTTGGGCCTGCCTCGACTGTTTCGTTTTTAAACACTGCAAGATTTCTTTTGGGGGTTTTTTTGGCGGTTTACCCCTTTAAAAAAATTTGCTTGGGGAAAAAAAAAAATTTTCTTTCTAGGGCCCCACAAATAACCTATCAATTTTTAAACCAAAAGCCCCCTTTGGGGGATGCGGACTAAACAGACACTTTTTTTTTCCGAAATGCAAGGCAAAGCGTTTTAAATTTCCCCAAGAACTTTGGGGGGGAAAACCAAACATGCTTCGGGTGGATCGGAGTTTTAGGAAAAAACGCGGGTTTGGTAGGGCAAAACAAATGGGAAAAAGGAGAACAGCATAACTAGAATTCTTTGCATTGGAACCCACAGGGCTGGGAATAAAGGGGCCAAAAACACAGGGGAGAAGAGAGCTGGAAAAGGGGGTTAAAAAGATGGGAGACATGGGGAAGCTCCTAAGGCAAGGATGAACCTTGGCGGGGTTGGGTTGGGGCCCCATCTCCTTGGGGATAAAAGGCGAAAAAGAAGAAAAAAGGAAAATCCACAAATATTCCTAACAGGCGAAGACCACAGAGGCGGAAAGAAAACATTACTTTATTTGTGGCAGACCACAAAAAAGGGGCATACGACAAAACTAGCGGCTTTATATCTCTTCTGTACCGACTGGTCATCAAAAAAAAAATTAGGTCTGTCCTTTTACCCCTAAATCGGGGAAAAGGGTCCTTTATTTTTTTTTTCTTGTATGAGGTGCCCTGTGTATTCTACCTTTTTCCCTGTAACTCCTTCTAGGGGCCGTGTTGATTTGGGCCCCCCGAAAGACATATCTGGGCATCTTGGGCCCACAACTCCAGAAACCAACCCTAACATATATCCATACACACACACCCACCCACACACTCCCCACCCATCCATTCACGCACCCCCACACCCCACAAGTCAAGGTACCATCTTCCACGCCTACTTGCATTTTGGGCATAATTTGATATTAAAAAATTTTTACTTTTCCCGAATGTGTCATAAGGGAAAAGATTTTGGCGATCCCGTTCACTCGGGTGTGCAGAAGATGAGGCACTAGTCTTTTAAATGAATGAATGAATGAATATATGGTTGAATGAATTTACATCCCAGCCCTCGAGACATTTCCAGACAAGCCCGTTTCCTTGCTCAGTAGCCAGCGAAGAGTGGATATGCTTATAGTACCAGTTGCAACCTGATTAAAAGACCACCAACGTTTTCCCCTTAGTGTTAAATATCTCCCAGACCCTCTGCTCCCCCCCCCCCCCCAAACTGATTTAGTCTATATATGTATGGATACTCTGTCTTTTTTTTTTTTTTTTGTCCTGTCCACTTGATCCTAAAGAGCTATCACCACGTCCGCTTTATCATAAAGTAGCTTATAGCCCAGAGGCGCGGCAGCAGACAATCTGTCTGCGTGCTCATTACCCCGCACACCCGATTTTCTGGGCAGGATGTCCATGACATACTGCTGATCTGAGTCTTTTTAGCAATCAGTAGATTTACAATGTTTTTAATGTCATCAGCCCATGTTCTCTTTGCACAGCCACTTGATCTCAACGCAACTTTTTTTTTTTAAACCTGCTGTTGTGGCTGAGTTCTAAGAGAGATGTCGAAACCATTTAATTCTGATTCTCAATAAATTTCATGCGGGCTGCTCCCAAAAATCTGTCAGATACTTTTTCTCAATCGGTCAAGAACAGTCAATATGGCGGCATTTCATCTCGCAAGTGTTAATTTTAGGGAGGTCAAGTTGTCGGTCATGTCGAAGCTTTCCATTGGTATCACCGTATTGGTATGAATCTGTTGTTTATAATTTGTTGCTTAGGGGTCATTATTCTGTTTTGAATGTCTTAATAACTGCGTCAGTTGGTGTAGAATTACACTGACCATTCGGTATCCTTATTTCCCAGCTCCCGATCTGTTTTGCCGTCCTTCGAGAATATACTTCTTAGATATTTACCTACTTTAACTTGCTGCAGATGAGAACTATTCTTCTTCGACCCTTCTTTGTAACAGTAAATATCACTAGGAGTTAAAACAGTGTTTCCAAAAATGCGTTGCCCTACCGCCTCCCCCCCCCCCCCCCAGCGCCCACCTACTTTTTTTTAGCGGGGAACAAAAAAAAAACATTGCCCAGCGCCCCCTCTCCCTGCAGATATCATCATCAGCGTGTGCATAGCTAAAAATCATCAGTGGTCATCATTCACCATCCTAGACTTTCAGCAGGTTCTTGGATCAGCCGCTGCTCCTGTATCACTCCACTAACGTCGCCATGCCATTTGGGCATTTACCTCTTTGCTGTATCCTACTTCTCTTTCTATCAAAGTGGTAGTTGTCACAAAGTTCTCGAGTCCATTCATTGACTTGAAATAAGCCTTCTGTAATCGAACAAACAGAATGATATATGGACAGTATTGCTTTGTATCGTCTCTCTGTCCCCGTCTCACAGTATGGCCGTGGTCTGTGAGTGTTGTAGTCTTCTCTCAAATTCAACTGTATAGATTGTGTAAGTTTTAATACTTTTGGACAGTTAGGGCTGCATGAGGTTTCCTGTCGACATCACAAGCTCTGGGACAGTTAGGGCTGCATGAGGTTTCCTGTCGCCATCACAAGCTCTGGGACAGTTAGAACTGCATGAGGTTTCCTGTCGACATCACAAGCTCTGGGACAGTTAGGGCTGATTGAGGTTTCCTGTCGACATCACAAGCTCTGGGACAGTTAGGACTGATTGAGGTTTCCTGTCGACATCACAGGCTCTGGGACAGTTAGGGCTGATTGAGGTTTCCTGTCGACATCACAAGCTCTGGGACAGTTAGGACTGCATGAGGTTTCCTGTCGACATCACAAGCTCTGGGACAGTTAGGACAGATTGAGGTTTCCTATCGCCATCACAGGCTCTGGGACAGTTAGGACTGATTGAGGTTTCCTGTTGCCATCACAGGCTCTGGGACAGTTAGGGCTGATTGAGGTTTCCTGTCGACATCACAAGCTCTGGGACAGTTAGGACAGATTGAGGTTTCCTGTCGCCATCACAAGCCCTGGGACAGTTAGGACTGATTGAGGTTTCCTGTCGCCATCACAAGCTCTGGGACAGTTAGGACTGATTGAGGTTTCCTGTCGCCATCACAAGCTCTGGGACAGTTAGGGCTGATTGAGGTTTCCTGTCGACATCACAAGCTCTGGGACAGTTAGGGCTGCATGAGGTTTCCTGTCGACATCACAAGCTCTGGGACAGTTAGGGCTGCATGAGGTTTCCTGTCGCCATCACAAGCTCTGGGACAGTTAGGACTGATTGAGGTTTCCTGTCGACATCACAAGCTCTGGGACAGTTAGGGCTGCATGAGGTTTCCTGTCGCCATCACAAGCTCTGGGACAGTAAGGACTGATTGAGGTTTCCTGTCGACATCACAAGCTCTGGGACAGTTAGGGCTGCATGAGGTTTCCTGTCGACATCACAGGCTCTGGGACAGTTAGGGCTGCATGAGGTTTCCTGTCGACATCACAAGCTCTGGGACAGTTAGGACAGATTGAGGTTTCCTGTCGCCATCACAAGCTCTGGGACAGTTAGGACAGATTGAGGTTTCCTGTCGCCATCACAAGCTCTGAGACAGTTAGGACAGATTGAGGTTTCCTGTCGCCATCACAAGCTCTGGGACAGTTAGGACAGATTGAGGTTTCTTGTCGCCATCACAAGCTCTGGGACAGTTAGGACAGATTGAGGTTTCCTGTCGCCATCACAAGCTCTGGGACAGTTAGGGCTGATTGAGGTTTCCTGTCGCCATCACAAGCTCTGGGACAGTTAGGACAGATTGAGGTTTCCTGTCGCCATCACAAGCTCTGGGACAGTTAGGACAGATTGAGGTTTCCTGTCGCCATCACAAGCTCTGGGACAGTTAGGACAGATTGAGGTTTCTTGTCGCCATCACAAGCTCTGGGACAGTTAGGACAGATTGAGGTTTCCTGTCGCCATCACAAGCTCTGGGACAGTTAGGACTGATTGAGGTTTCCTGTCGCCATCACAAGCTCTGGGACAGTTAGGACTGCATAAGGTTTCCTGTCGCCATCACAAGCTCTGCCTTTTCATATGTAGGGATCAACAGAAAGGAGGAATTCACTGCTGGACTAGTTATATTCTTGTAAGGGAGTGGGGGAGGTAAAATTCATACCTGGGGCTGTCCTGTTTAGAGCGTATGAGTCCTGGGTTCCTACTCAGTCATCAAGGGGAGACCTGCTTCTGCTCTGAGAGCTTCACACATCATTATGTCTATTTTTATTTTTGCATGCTTTCTCTTGAATGGTTCAGCAAATAGTTTGGAAGCTTCTTAAGCTTTTCAGACAAAGCTAAGGGATCTGTACTATCTATAGGAGTGCTTCAAATCGCTCCTTGTGTTATTCTTAAGCTCATATTTTGAACCTCGTATAGGTTTCAATAGTCTGTTTTCACTGCTTCTTGCTCCACAGTGTATGTTCCATCCAGTTTTTAATTTTCGTTACAGCTATCTGTGTACACCTTTTAACTGGATTATATATTTTTTTCTTCTTCTGAGTTTGGCTTCCATGTGAGCCTCCTGTCTAGCATAACCAAACCCCCCCCCCCCCCCCGAAAATAAAACCAGTAAATAGATCCCTAAAATTCGTTGATTTTGTAACAAAATAATACTGTGAATTGCGTGAATTTTTATCATGGTATGCGTCGTCGCAGGTCGACCCAGCCTAAAATGGGTACCAGGATGGCTGTTCTGGGGAAGTAAAGACGGTCGGCGTAATGCTGACCACATTACCCATTAAGTCCCGACGGTCTGTAAAAATATGGGCGATCTTCCCATGTACCCGATACGCCTAAAAATGCGTAAATAATGATCTTTACCTTTTTTTTTTCTTTCAAATATTGGTTATTTTATATATGTATGAGCATAAGAGAAAACTTACTGTTCTTTTGTTGTTTTCGTTGAATCATAAAAATTAAATAAATTAAACTTCCGAATGACAGTAGTCAGCAGTACTGTCATTATTGTCACAGAATGTTGAACAGCGTTAGAAACTGTCATTCCGCATTGTAGTAACAATTTTTGACGGAAAAGTATATAGAGGAGGAAACAAGCTTACTCGTGCTAGGACGAGGAAATACAAAGACCAGTTATGGCAGCAACCCTATCTGTTTTAATGATTGAACAACAGAACAGTCGGTATAGCCAAAGATGCTGTCTTTGTCCCTATCGCCCCTTGGACCGTCCCAGCCTCCACCCCATCCCCCACCCCAAACCCTCTGAGCGGCAGCGTCCACTTTAGGATGCACTGAGTTAGAACAATATATTCTCTTCTTCTTTACGTTCACCAGCTGTAAACTCTGGTGGAAAGTTCTGGTTGTTCATCCACTTCTGGACTGCAGTCCTGCTCCAGAACCTGAGTGTTGCGTGTGCATCCGTTTGACAGATTTGACACATTATTAACTTTAAACTTCTGTCTACCTTGTGGTCTCAAGGTCGAGTTTTTGTTTCACTTTCTTCGCTAACATTTTATGTGGCGATCTCTGGTGGTCGTTACTAGAGATTTGCACTGCGTGCTTTGTGTGACATTCCCTGCATGCCTAATTAAACAGAGTGAAATAAAGGTAATCTTTTGGGCTTTTTTATTAAATTTAGAACTGTCGTGATCACTTTGTTCTTTAGTCTTTTATTTTAAGTTTATGAGAGTCACACCTTGAATGACACACCTGGTTGTCAATTACCTGTGTGGACACCTGCCCGCAGACTCAGGTTCTTTCCAGCGATGTGTGGAATGTCGATGTGACCTGCATGATGGGCCAGGTCCAATGCCATGGTGGCAATCTCAGCCACGTGCCTCCTTCCGTTTCTTTTTGGAACGCCTGAAAAATATCACGTTCAATAGGTATTATTAATACCGAAAACCGTTTTAACACCTCCACATTGATTTCTTACCCATCCTCCACCTTCTCCTCTACATCCTTCGTCTTCTTCTTCGTCATTTTCATCGTCTTCTTCTTCTTCTCGGTGCTTTATTAATATCTTACACCAAACAGGGGAAATCTACAGGTCACGGGAAAGTCTAATATTTCAGGGGGTGGTAGAAAGGCTGCATGCATTCGTAGTACCTAGGCTGCACTCTTTCGTGACACGTAGGTGGGTTGGGGTTAGGGCCAGTTCTAAAAGTTTTGAGGTCGTTAAAAGCATCAGAGAGTCGGGAACCTCAGTCTTACCACCCTCTAAAATGTTGGACTGTCCTGTGATATTATCTGGGGTAGGATATTATTAAAGAACCATCTGCTCTTCTTCTTCTGCCACTTCTCTGCCATGACGATTATGTTTTCTGTTAGAAGAAGAAGAAGATGAAAAAGAAGAAGAAGAAGAAGAAGAAGAAGAAAAAGAAGAAAAAGAAGAAGAAGAAGAAGAAGAAGGAGAAGAAGAAGAAGAAGAAGAAGAAGAAGAAGAAGAAGAAGAAGAAGAAGAAGAAGAAGAAGAAGAAGAAGAAGAAGAAGAAGAAGAAGAAGAAAAAGAAGAAAAAGAAGAAGAAGAAGGAGGAGGAGGAGGAGGAGGGGGATTAAAGAAGGAGATTCAACCCCACCAGGACATCCATCAAGCGATAATCACCTGGTGACACAAAGTGCTACCATGCGGATGAGGATCAACCTGGGAGAGGTCCCAGAAAACGCATTGAACCGTTAAGTATATTAGGTCTTTAGCCAGGATGGGGCTTTAAAATAACGAAAAATTGCATTTTGTTTCTAGGAGGAGGTGGTGGATTTGGCAGCGGTTGTCAGTATGTGTCAGCCTGCACATTTTCTGGTACACATTTTTGCATAGATAGGTCTAGAAGCCCTAATACATTATGAAAATCTGCCAAGAAGAACTACGAAATGTTAACCAAACATTCCTGAAACTTCAGTTGAGTTGAGTTGAGTTAATTCAAGAAATGTCATCACAGCACTCGGGGCATTCCTGAAACTCCAGTGACAAGTTCTCGTTGTTTGCTTATAGGCTGTATATAGTAGTGATTTAGAACTTAATTTTTGCATTCACATTCGTTTTACATAATATCAACGCAGACTGTCGATTTCATGTTTCTCGTGCAAAAGCACCCCGACATCAAAAAAAAATCCATAGTCGCCTTTTTCGACAATGTTGGAAGCCAATAGATCTACGTATTTCTTCCCCTAAAATGGTTCCCCAGAACTACACAGTCAGTGAGACGGTGGAGCAATCAAGCAAGATTAGAAGCCAATAGCATTTGTGAAAACTTTTTTTTTTTTACCGCTATTTTATACACTAGTTTATTTATTCTACAAAGAAGAGAAGAAATATTGACATCTTGAAAGATCTGAACATCAAGGAAGATTGGCTAATAAACAGCATACTTTCTCAGAAGCAGAAATATTTTGAAGCACCACGACGGATTAGAAACAATTATTGGAGAAGGCATGGTACCAGGAAGGAGGGGCAGGCGAAGATGGGCACAGAATATAAGTGACTCCTTGAGTATGAACCTACATGAGACAGGAGAACTGGTTTCTTTCAGGCAGACTGTGATGAGAGCGACGTTCTGCAAAGGACCTGCTACATGATGATGATGATATTTATTATTCCCGTCATTCAACGTTTGAATTATTACCTTTAGGTAACGTGATTGACTACCTAAGTTTGCAGTTATTTGTTATTGATTGCACATTCCAGACTCGCCAGATAAGATTATCTCTACTGTAAACAAAGACTCCTGAAAAAACAAGTGACGTAACTTTGGTCGAGTCGGCAGGTAAACGTAATTGGCAATAATGGGTCATAACCTGTGGGGTCAGATGGGAAGATAAACTGAAGAAAAATTATGTAAATGCTGAATTGCCAACGACAAAAACGATCTGAAACGAGAAATGAAAGTTGATTACGTAAACTGTGATTCCGTTTCGACCAAACAGGTGCCATCTGCACGATAACTGTTAGGAACCATTTCAGTGCATGTCTGTGAGCGCGCGAGGTTCTTCTTGCCCTTCCTGTGGGTTTTCTGGGGACTTCTTCTTCTTCTTCTTCTTCTTCTTCTTCTTCTTCTTCTTCTTCTTCTTCTTCTTCTTCTTCTTCTTCTTCTTCTTCTTCTTCTTCTTCTTCTTCTTCTTCCTAGTCACATGCAGTAATCTCCGACAGAAAGTTTTATTTGTTTGTCCACTTCTGGACTCTAGTCCTGTTTCAGAATCTGAATGTTGCGGGCACATTCGTTTTGCAAATCTGACTCATTTGTATGCAGACATGTTACGGATCTGACTCATTTATATGCAGACATGTTACGGATCTGACTCATTTGTATGCAAACCTTTTACGGATCTGACTCATTTGTATGCAGACTGTGGGTTACTTGCCTCCCAGGCAGATGCACTGCGACTTTGAAGAAAGCCCTCAGTTACTCGACTCGTACGACATTCTTTTGGGGAATCTGAAGTCATGATCTCTGTGATTATAAAATCTCAATATGGATGGCAGATTAAAGGGCCAATGCAATATACACTCCAATCTCCAAAGGAGTTATAATTAGGGCACTCGTGACGGCCACGTCAGCTACCCATTTCGATGTCAATCTCTTGCTCATATTCTTTCATATTTTGTGATCTAGTGTGGTTTTCATAATAGTTTTTTTTATGTCTTTAGTAGATCATTTGTCCGTGTATTGTTTTTATTTTTCGACAATGCATTGTTTATTCATAAAATATTCAATACGTCCATTGTTAGTTGGATTCTTTCAGAAAAATTATTATTTTATGAATACCGTTGACCGAGAATGAAAGAAAGCATGGCAATGTAAACGATCTGAACATTAAAGAAAATGTGCTCCCAAACAGCATTCTGTCTAGGAAACAGAAATACTTTCGTCAAATCAAATGGCGCTGTGGGTTGTAAAGAACAATGACGGACCGTGGCAGCTGGTGAGAGGGGCAGAGGCTGACTAGCACAAAGATGGGCACAGACCTCAAGAGATGCCTTGGGCAGGAGTGTGCACGAGGCAAGAGATCAGGCGTGGGACCCAACTTTTCTCAGAGATACTGTGACAGAAGTGATCCTGTAACGAACCCGCTACATAACGATGTTTCTGTCAGATACGGCATATTCTTTGCTGCATTCGAATTTTCTGTACCCGCAGTTCCATGTTACAATTGTTGTTAATTTTCCAAACAGCTTCTCCATGTTGAAAGTTTGAGTGTAATAATTATCCTATTGAGTCTTCCTCCTAGTCGAGCTTCTCTCTCAAGGATTGATACCCCAGTGAGTCAAAGTGTCGTGTCCTGGGGGGAATCCGAAAAAGCAAAATCTCATATACCCCTTTCTGTCTGCTATAAAGCTATAGAGCACGTGTAACAAATATACTCTGTACAAATCTCCAGTTCCCTGCTATATGGGCAGGTACAGATGCATTCGTGCATGCTGTTGTTCTTGCCATGCAGCTACTTTTAGGTTTAACATCCTGAGATTACTAAGACCAACAGGATCAATCCTGGCAACCCCGGCACACCAAAATGATCAATCCCGACTACCCAGGCAGACCAACGGGATCAATCCCGAATACCCTGGCAGACCAACAGGATCAATCCCCAATACCCTGGCAGACCAACAGGATCAATCCCCAATACCCTGGCAGACCAACAGGATCAATCCCCAATACCCTGGCAGACCAACAGGATCAATCCCCAATACCCTGGCAGACCAACAGGATCAATCCCCAATACCCTGGAAGACCAACAGGATCAATCCCAAATACCCCGACAGACCAGCAGGATAAAACCAGATATTCCGCACACTGACAGGATGAACACAAATACTCCTGCACACCGACAGGATAAACCCTAAATACCCCTCCAGCCCAACAGGATAAATCTGAGATGCACCGTTCAGATGCCAAGAATTTATAACTGGGGCACCAGTAACGGTCACACAAGCCTGGTTAAAATGCAGTAATACAAAGATCCTTAATTTGAGTGTACATAACATGTATGCAGAACGGGAGAAAATCGGCCACCATGGCAGGCATGGAAGGCTAAGAACCACACCTCCAGAACGACCCAGGGTTCACTGGGAAGACACCTTCCTACAATCCCCGGCTCTCAGAGACTAGAAAAGATCAATGACAGAAAGAAAACCGCTGATATAGAAGTCTAACGATCTCTCTGGCAACATCTACACCCGAAGGTAAAAGAGGAGCGACTAAGTAAATATACATAACACTTAATATTGAATATTTAAAAAAATACTTTTTCTTTCAAGTTACGAGTTGTGAGTTGGGAGTTTCTTCACCGTTCTTTGAACATGTCCATAGGCGCTCAGATTCCCCTTGCAACGTATACATTAGAGTCCTGAGGTACAACGTATACATCAGCGTCCTGGGGTACAACGTATACATCAGCGTCCTGAGGTACAACGTATGCATCAGCGTCCTGAGGTACAACGTATACATCAGCGTCCTGAGGTACAACGTATGCATCAGCGTCCTGAGGTACAACGTATACATCAGCGTCCTGAGGTACAACGTATACATCAGCGTCCTGAGGTACAACGTTTAAATCAGCGTCCTGAGGTACAACGTATTCATCAGCGTCCTGAGGTACAACGTTTACATCAGCGTCCTGAGGTACAACGTATACATCAACGCCCTGAGGTACAACGTATTCATCAGCGCCCTGAGGTACAACGTATACATCAGCGTCCTGAGGTACAACGTATACATCAACGCCCTGATGTACAACGTATACATCAGCGTCCTGAGGTACAACGTATACATCAGCGTCCTGAGGTACAATGTATACATCAGCGTCCTGAGGTACAACGTATACATCAACGCCCTGAGGTACAACGTATACATCAGCGTCCTGAGGTACAACGTATACATCAGCGTCCTGAGGTACAACGTATACATCAGCGTCCTGAGGTACAACGTATACATCAGCGTCCTGAGGTACAACGTATACATCAGCGTCCTGAGGTACAACGTATACATCAGCGTCCTGAGGTACAACGTATACATCAGCGTCCTGAGGAACAACGTTTATATCAGCGTCCTGAGGTACAACGTATACATCAGCGTTCTGAGGTACAACGTATACATCAGCGTCCTGAGGTACAACGTATACATCAACGCCCTGAGGTTAAGAGTGTCACTCTTGTGCTGGTGAACAAAACTTCTTGAACGTCCTGTGTGCCTCTCATGCCAGACAGTCCTGATCTTTACTCTCAGTTCGCACATTCTCAGCAGTGACGTGGACATCCTGCTAACACAATCAGCCGATCGTTCTATCTCTAAAAGGATATCAATAATGACGGTGTGATCCACAGGTCGGTGATCTGTAGTTAAGGCAGAACCGGCCGATCTTATCAGCTTTTTCCTTGTCAACAACACCCACATGCCCTGCGTTAAAAGTTAAGTCGAGAGGATCCACTTCAATGCACCAGGTTTCATCTCACTTGGCTCGACCCTCTCTTCGTCGTGCGGTCAGCCGCCTGTAGACAGAACTGCACAAAGCACGAACACCGAGGCTCTGGTGACGATCCACAGAGATATCCGTAAACTTTACACTCGTGAACTGAACGGCGCCGCAATACACACGTGATCTGTTCTGCGCGAAGCAAACAGCTTGACCACTTCTGCACGGAGACCCCTAGCACATACCCTGGGACAAAGATGTAGGTAACTCCCCGGAGACCCCCAGCACATACCCTGGGACAAAGATGTAGGTAACTCCACGGAGACCCCCAGCGCATACCCTGGGACAAAGATGTAGGTAACTCCACAGAGACTCCCAGCACATACCCTGGGACAAAGATGTAGGTAACTCCACAGAGACTCCCAGCACATACCCTGGGACAAAGATGTAGGTAACTCCACGCGAGTTACATTGACTATCCAGTGTCGGAGTAGGCCTACCCTAGACCTGCCGGATAGTGCTCATAGAATCATACAACACGAAAAAGTTTCTCTTCTGTTTCACAAAGTGTGGCTTAGTGGTTAGAGAAATGGTTTCAAAGTGCAGTTCTCGGCATTTACCAGGGTTTCATTTCCACGGTGGGTGGTTTAAAAACAGACAAAAATCCGTTTTCGTGGCTTTTGACAGTTGTACGAGGGTCGCATCGTCACCAACTACATAGTAGTGGATAGATACATTGCAGCCAACTCCCATTGTGGAGACGGAACAGTTTTTCTTCTCTGCTACTAATGTCTTTTATTTAATACTGTATCTCCCCATTCTCTTCCCCATCCATCTGTCCCCTTTCGCTATAAATTCTTTCATCTCACCCCTTCCATCACCTCCTCTCTCCACCCTCCGTCTGTTTCTCTCTCTCTCTCTCTCTCTCATCCTTCTCTCCACCCTACCTTTCTCTCCCGCCTCATTGTCTTTTATCTCTCTCTCTCACTCTCTCTCTGTCACACACACACACACACACACACAAACACACACACACACAAACAAAGGAGCTCTGATGCTATGAAAGGGGCATAATTTTACTTGCCTGATGATACCATATAAGCATCTCCAATTGTCTCCACCTTGTATACGTCATATATTTCCAAGCGAGCATCAAAGCAAGAGTAGAGCGCGTTGAGAAGGTTGACCACCTCCATGGGAGAGCACGACGCGGCGATGGTGGTGAAACCAACGATATCAGAGAAGAATATCGTTACGTCTTCGAAGCTTTCTGCGGGCACCTGTAGATGACAAGTAGAGAAACATTTGTAGAGATGTGGTCCTCCATAGCTCGAGAAAACGGGTGTGACTGTTAAGGGTACACTGATAGTAACTTCTTCGGAGGTTGAACAGGGTATCTGGAATCTGCTTTGTTGATCTGCCGGCCGTTTTGACACTTTGTAATCGTATGATGATATGTAAAACCCTTAACTAGCACGCCGGAGTGGACAAACTGATTGATCGATAAACAGTATGCCCGGCTCTCTAGCGAAGTTGGTTAAACCTGACTTTCGCGGCGGCCGGGTGACGAACTCCCAGATTAACGGTACCTATAATGGAATCAAGGCCGAAGGTTTGCGATATCTATAGTGCCGAGCCAAAGGGTTTACAACTCATGGTTTCTGGATACGTAAAAAAAAAAAAATCGATAAACAGTGTCATGGATCAGATTAGTGCCCTTATCCGGGTTTATAAATGTGGCCAGCCCTCCGGGGATATTTATACCCCCCCCCCCCATATCTGTTTCATAACTAAATAAAGAGAGGGGTGGGGTTGAGCCACACGCTTCAGCTCCCAACCTGGAGGACCAGAGTGTGTTTGTGTCTAACTTCAGCAGCCAGCGAAGTGTTCCACCGTCAGTAGTGCTAGTAGTTCGTTAGTTAGTTACAAATCCTTTACAGGACGTTGCAGTACCAACCCCAGCATATTTTGGCTGTTGTTTTTCTAGGTAAATTTTACATTCAGTAGTTTGTCATTGCTCAATCAGCGCTTGGTACCACTGTCAAAACCAACGCAAGACAAATTATCCGCAGCTGGGATCTAACAGAGATCCCGGCATTATCAAGCGCTTTCGCAACGCCTAAGCCATAGACGGCGATTGTGTGTCAGTGTCAGTAGCAGCATGATTATATGTCCGTCTTGTCTTTTCTCTGAGGGCCGAGTATCGGTAATATCCTCTGGTCACTCCTCGCATCATCACTCTCACGAGACTGTGATGATCAATTTGCTTCTCTAAATTCGACGTGTTGAGGTTTTGAAGTTTCTGAACAACAGATCAACATCACGGCACACGTGTGTAACCCATAAGTGCTCTGTTCTTCCTCTAACTGAAGAAGCTCAGCACAGTGCACAGGGTCTGTAGCACCGGCGAGGACCCTGAAATACCTTAGGTAGATTATTACCGGTTCTTTATTAATATCTTACCCCAGATTAACAGTCCAACATTTAAGAGGGCGGTAAAACTGGGTTTCCCGGCTTTCTGGTGTTTTTAACGGCCCCAAAACATCTAGAACTTGACCTAACCACAACCCACCTACGTCCCAAGAGAGAGTGCGGCCTAGGTCCCACGACTGCATGCAGACTAGGTCTACAACCCCGTAAAATATTACACTGCACCGTGACCTGTGGATTTTCCCTATTTGGGGAAGGATATTAATGAAGCATCTTGTTAACTTCAAATTGTTCCCTGTCAGCTTGGTTAGGCTGCTTATTTCGATTTCCAACTGCCAAAGGACGTGTTGATGAACTAAAAAGGTAAATTTGATCGCGTTCAAGCAGCTACTAAAAGATTTTGCTTATAATTGCAATTCAAATAGTGTAATGTTTGTTCAAATTTTGCTTCTTGTAAACCAGTTAGGCTTTGAGGTAAAAAATAGTGCCATTTGGGGCTTCTTGTTGTCAACTGAGTTCTTTACTTACACGTCCGCATAGGTTTTCCTAGCAAGTATCCACTGTTATCTCATATCGCGTATTTTGGTTTCCTTTCCCGCAAGGACACATATGGCA